GTATCCAGCATCCTTGCAGAACTCTCTTATTAGTTTTAATTATTTGTTGGTTTTGTTCATTTATCCAGGTAGATGAACATATTCTAAATAATGAGATTTTTAGAACATATTCTAAATAATGAGATTTTTAGAACATATTCTAAGTAATGAGATTTCTAACTTTTCTTTTTTAATTTTTAATTTTCTTATATCCTTTTCTTTCCTACTACAGTGATATTGGTCATGTCCCCCAGTACTGTGTTAAATAGTTGATTCTGATGCTGAAGTGAATGCATATGTATTTTCTCATTATATATAGTGTTTGCTTACCTCTCTGGGTTTGCACTTTTCCTTAGATGATTGGCCTAGATTTTCCTTTTTTTTTTTTTTTTTTTGAGACAAAGTTTCACGCTGTTGCTCCAGCTGGAGTACAGTGGCATGATCTTGGCTCATTGCAGCCTCAACCTTCTAGGGTCAAGTGATCCTTTGCTCCTCAGCCTCCTGAGTAGCTGGGACTACAGGCACATGCCATCGCCCCTAGCTAATTTCTGTATTTTTTGGTAGAGATGGGTTTTTGCCATGTTGGCCAGGTTGGTCTTGAACTCCTGGGCTCAAGCAGTTTGCCCATCTCTGCCTCCCAAAGACATTACAGGTGTGAGCTGCCACACCCGGCCCCATTTTCCTTACTGTCTTTCTAGCTCTTTGGTGCTTTTTTTCTTTTTTTGAGATGGAGTCTCACTCTGTTGCCCCAGGCTGGAGTGCAGTGGCACGATCTTGGCTCACTGCAAACTCTGCCTCCTGGGTTCACGCCATTCTCCCACCTCAGCCTCCTGAGTAGCTGGGACTGCAGGCGCCCCCCACCACACCTGGCTAATTTTTTTGTATTTTTAGTAGAGATGGGGTTTCACCATGGTCTTGATCTTCTGACCTCATGATCCGCCTGCCTTGGCCTCCCAAAGTGCTGGGATTACAGGCGTGAGCCACCGCGCCCAACCTTTTTTTTTTTGAGACGGAGTCCTGCTCTGTCACCCAGGCCGGAGTATAGTGGTGCAATCTCGGCTCATTGCAACCTCCACTTCCCGGGTTCAAGTGATTCTCCTGCCTTGAGTAGCTGGGATTACAGGCGCATGCCACCACGACCAGCTAATTTTTGTATTTTTAGTAGAGACGGGGTTTCACCATGTTGGTCAAGCTGGTCTCAAACTCCTGACCTCATGATCTGCCTGCCTCGGCCTCCCAAAGTGCTGAGATTACAGGAGTGAGCCACCGCGCCCGGCTGCTTTTTGGTGCTTTTAAGGTTATCTTTTCCTTACTATCTTTCTTGTTCTTCGGTTCTTTTAAGGTTATTTAAAAATACTTTATACCTTTTTTGGGGGGATGATTTTCAGTGTAATTTTGTTATTTTAATGGAAATAGAAATCCTTTTTCTAATCAATTTCCAGAAATTCTTTATAAATTCTGAATACAAATCCTTGTAAATTCCATCTTTTACTCTTTTCACCTTATATATAGTAAAACAGATGACCCAAATTAAAACACTTCAAACCAGAAAAATTTATCAATTTTTTTTTTTTTGGCTAGCACTTTTTATGTCTTAATTTCTCCTCCCTTCAGCGGGAATTCATTTTTGTTCAAGGTTGGAATATGGATTGCATTTTATTTCTTTCCTGTGTGGGTAAATACATGTCCTGGTACTACTTATTGAATAGTCCATGTTTTATCTAGTGATCTGCAGTGCCGCCTCTGTTACTTCCTAAGTTCTTTTTTTTTTTTTTTCTTTTTCTGAGATGGAGTCCTGCTCTGTCACCCAGGCTGGAGTGCTGATCTGATCTCAGCTCCCTGCAACCTCCACCTCCCAGGTTCAAGCAATTCTCCTGCCTCAGTCTCCCGAGTAGCTAGGATTACAAGCGCCTGCCACCACGCCCAGCTAATTTTTTTTTTGTATTTTTAGTAGATATGGGGGTTTCACTATGTTGGCCAGGCTGTTCTCGAACTCCTGACCTCGTGATCTGCCCACCTTGGCCTCCCAAAGTGCTGGGATTACAGGCATGAGCCACCACGCCCCGCCTCAAGTTTCTTCTATGTGTTTCTGGGCTTGATCTTCTCCACTGGCCTATTTTGTTTATCCTGCACCATCATCTACTGTCCTAATTACTACAGTGATACAGTAAGAGTTTATAATATGTACTAACTTCTGGTAGGGCAATTTCTTCTACCTTGTTCTTTCTAAAAAGAGCATCTTAATTCTACTTGGCACTTAGCACTTTTATGTAAATTTTAGAATTTGCTTAGCCAGTTTCTTGAATATGGCCAACGGGATTTTGATCAGAATCGCATTGAATTTATAGGCCAGGTGTGGTGGCTCATGCCTGTAATCCCAGCGCTTTGGGAGGCTGAGGTGCGCAGATCACCTGAGGTCGGGAGTGTAAGACAAGCCTGGCCTACATGGCAAAACCCTGTCTCTATTAAAAATACAAAAATTAGCTGGGTATGGTGGTATGTGCCTGTAATCCCAGCTACTCAGGAGGCTGAGGTAGGAGAATTGCTTGAACCTGGGAGGCAGAGGTTGTGGTGAGCTGAGATCGCACCACTGCACTCCAGTCTGGGTGACAGAGCAAGACTCCATCTAAAAAAAAAAAAAAAATCTACCCTATCAGGTACTATGCTCACTACCCAGGTAAAAAAAATCATTTGTACACCAAACTCCAGTGCCATGCAATTTACCTGTATAGCAAACCTGCACATGTACCCCCAAACTTAAAATAAAAATTGGAAGAAAAAAATACTACCTCACACTCACTAGGAATGGCTATAATAAAAACATCAGATAGTAATGAGTGTTGGTCAGGATATAGAGCCCTCATATGTGCTGATGGTGGGTAGCCACTTTGGAAAACAGTCTGGTAGTTTCTCAAAAAGTTAAAGATACTGTTACCAAATTGACTCAGCAATTTCACTTCAATCTATACCTAAGAGAAATGAAAACATATGTCTATGCAAAAACTTGTACAGAAATGTTCATAGCAGCATTATTTATAATAGCTAAAAGATATAAACAGCTCAGATGTTTATCAACTGACAAATGGATGAACAAAATTGATATTTCCATATGATGGAATATTGCTCAGCTATAAAATTGAATGAAGTACTGATACATGCTACAACGTGAATGAACTTTGAAGCATCGTGCTAAAAGAGGCCAGTCATAAAATACTACATAGTATATGATTCCATGTATATGAAATGTCCAAAAAAGACAGATCTATAGAGATAGAAAATAGATTAGTGGGGCCGGGCACAGTGGCTCATGCCTGTAATCCCAGCACTTTGGGAGGCCTAGGCGGGTGGGTCAACTGAGGTCAGGAGTTCGAGACCAGCCTGGTCAACATGGTGAAACCCTGTCTCTACTAAAAATACAAAATTAGCCGGGCATGGTGGCAGATGCCTGTAATCCCAGCTACTTGGGAGGCTGAGGCAGGAGAATCACTTGAACCCAGGAGGCGGAGGTTGCAGTAAGCTCAGATCATACCATTGTACTCCAGCCTGGGCTAAAAGGGTGATACTCCACGTAAAAAAAAAAAAAAAAAAAAAAAGGATTAGTGGTTGCTTAGGATTGGATAGGGGATAGAGATGAATGTTTGGGGGTTGAAAGCTAAAGGATACAGGTTTTCTGCTTGAGGGGATGAAAGTGTTCTAAAATTTACTGTGGTGATGGTTGTACATATCTATGAGCATATTAAATATCATTCAATTGTATACTTGAAATGGATGACTTGTATGGTATGTGAATTACACGTAAGTAAAGCTGTTACAAAATAAAGTATTCACTGTTATTTGAAATTCAAAAATATTAAATTCATCAGCATAGACTTGTTCATAGATTTTTTGCATCTTTCTAATGACTCAGTCTTTAGTTCTGGTTTTTTAAAATTCATAATATTTGCTTATGTCCTCTATCCTTCATTTTTTGATTATTGTTACCCAAGATTTGTCCATTTTATTGATATTATTAAACACCAACTTTTTGTTTTGTTGAGCTTCTATATTATATCTTAGTTTTCTATTTAATTTATTTATGGCATTATTGTTATTGTTGATGTTGTTGTTGTTTTACAACTAAGGTAACTGAGCATTAGGACCAAAAACTTTGGCTCCAGAGCCAAATTCTTAACCATTGCACCTTTTTTTTTAATCTTAAAGTTTATTTGGACTACTATTAGTGTAGCTAATCGCTTTCTTCTGGTTAATATTTGTCTGCTATATCATTTTCCATCTCTCTACATTTAACATTGATATATACAAAATTTTAGATGAGTTTCTTGTAAAAAGCATGAACTAGATTTTAAAAAAATGTTATTTGGAATATCTTTGCCTTTGAATTGGTAAATTTAATTCATTTACATTTATTGTGGTGACTGAGATGTTTGGAGTTATTGATACCATCTTACCTTTTGTCTTTTATGTACCTTGATTTTTCATGTTTTTGTCCTCCTTTCTTGCCTTAAGAAACAGTTGATTGACCTTTGTGTCCTTTCCAACTTGAAATCTGCTCTAGGGCCTGATTGTCCAGGATCCCTCCCCTAAAACCTCACTCACATTATCATAGGCATAGTTCTCTTGTATAGATGAAGATGCAGTTCTAGATCCAGTAGCATAGTCTTTTCCTAACATGACCATTGTAATGCAGAGGAATAACTGATATGGAAGGGAATGAAGATGATGGCAAGGTGCTAGGAAAAGTTTGAAAGAATCTTGGGTCTTTTCCACCCTTCTAGGTAGCTGACCTGGGGCAGATTTGGGTCTGGGTAAGAATTAGGACAGGAGCAGAGGCTCCGCAGCTGCTCACCCAGGAGTACCATTGCGCAAGCCAGAATACAGATCTCTGAAAGCAGCAAGAAGGCCATTTGAGTAGGCCTGTGGCCCAGAAATCTGGTGACCAAAAAGCCCAACAAATAAAATAGTGGATTCACAGTTGCAAAGAACACTTGGTTTAGGTAGATATTGATTTCCAAACTTTGCAGACTTATGACTGAACTGTAGAAACTGAAGACGATTACAGACCTGGGGCAGGAGCTGAAGAAGAATACAGACTGAGGGCAGGAGCAGAGAGGATGTACTCTGGGGAAGAGCCAAGATACATCTATATAGCAACTGCAGCTGGCAAACTACTCCCACATCTCTTCTCTCCTTTAGACCTTACATCAGCCCTGTGCTGTGTGTGAGTGGAGTTTTTAATCTTTCAATTGCAGATGAGAAAATCTTCCCTTAATTCTATTTCTTTGTTTATTTATTGAGACCGTCTCCCTCTGTTACCCAGGCTGGAGTGCAGTGGCCCGATCTCAGCTCACTGCAACCTCCGCCTCCCAGGTTCAAGTGATTCTCTTGCCTCAGCCTCCTGAGTCGTTAGAATTAACAGGTGCATGCCATTACGCCTGGCTGATTTTTGTGTTTTTAGTAGAGACAGGGTTTCACCATGCTGGCCAGGCTGGTCTCAAACTCCTGAGCTCAAATGATCTGTCTTCCTTGGCCTCCCAAAATGCTGGAATTACAGGCATGAGCCACCGTGCCTGGCCAGAAATTAGACAACATTTAAAAATTATCTGGGAAAGGGCAGGTGCGGTGGCTAATGCCTGTAATCCCAGCACTTTGGGAGGCTGAGGTGGGCGGATTGCTTGAGGCCAGGAGTTCAAGACCAGCCTGGCCAACATGGCAAAACCCTGTCTCTGCTAAAACTACAAAAAGAAAAATTAGCTGGGCATGGTGGAACATGCCTGTAATCTCAGCCATTCAGGAGGGTGAGACATGAGAATTACTTGAGTCCGGGAGGTGGAGGCTACAGTGAGCTGAGATTACTTGATTGTACTCCAGCCTGGGTGACAGAGGGAGACTGTCCCCCCCAAAAAAATTATCTGGGAAAAATAAATGTTTTTTACTTAGCAATAGGTCTCCCTTTTCCCCTCCTAATTCCCTGTCCTAAGAGACCAGCTTTTGATGATTGCTTGCATGTGTAAGTTGATTGTACTGGGAAGTTTTATGTGTGTACATGTGTGTGTGTGTCCATCCCTCCCCACTGGAATGCTCAAGTAACAACTGATCTGATGAACTGATGAATTCTAAGAAGTAAAGATTTATTTAATGGCAGGAGTTTTGCTTTGCTGAGTGACTTATACAAGTTTACAGCCAGACATGATTTTTTAGGACAGTGGAGGAGACCTCAGAGATTAAATGGGAGAAGAGTCGGGAGAGAGAGGAAACATGTATGGCTGTTAGCTGAGGAAGGATTTGAGGGAGAACAGAAATGCCTGTTAAGTTTTTTATGCTGTGTGGTATGTGATGTGAACGTCTCCTTTATCTCCCCATGAAGTCTTGGAAAAATCAACAGTGTTTAGTGACACTTTGTGGGGAAGCTTTGCTCTGAGATGTGACATGTTCTGTGTCCTGCCTCAGCACTGGTGAAGGGCACAGTGAGAAGCTGTCCACAGAAGACAATCATATATGTGCCACACTGTAATTAAGAATTAAACTGAACACTATTGGCACCAGAAGAGACTGACAAATCAATGAGATGAAATAGTCCAGAAATAGTATGTGATAAGCGTGGTGTTTTACACCAGCCAGGGAAGGTGGAACTATTCATTAAATGTATTTGGGACAATTAGCTCATCTAGAAAAAAATAGGATTCTACTTCCTACCCTATGCTAAACTAAATTTCAGATGAAACTATAATACAACATGAAAGCCCAAACAAATACATATGTGCTTGAAGAAAATCTAGGTGAATAGTTTTATACTTAGGGGGAGAGGAAGGCCTTTCTAAATGTAACCCAAAACACAGAAGCTGAATGTGAAAAAAATGGATAGATGTGATTATATAAAGCAATAGAAGGTCATTATTTTAAAAAAGTAATATTTTTTAAAAAGTAATAAATGTAAAAGACACTTTAAAATGCAAAAATTATTGATCACATATGGTGATAGGCTAATATCTTTTTTTTTTGAGACAGAGTCTTACTCTGTTGCCCAGGCTGGAGTGCAGTTGTGTGATCTCGGCTCACTGCAACCTCCACTTCCTGGGTTCAAGTGATTTTCGTGCCAAAGCCTCCCGAGTATCTGGGACTATAGGTGTGTGTCACCACACTTGGCTAACTTTTGTATTTTTAGTAGAGATGGGGTTTCACCATGTTGGCCAGGCTGGTCTTGAACTTCTGACATCAGGCGATCTGCCTGCCTTGGCTTCCCAAAGTGCTGGGATTACAGGCATGAACCACCATGCCCACCCCTAATAAGTTAATATCATTCATGTAAAAGATGATTCTTATAAATCATTAAAAAGGAAAAAATGGGTAAGGGATATGAATGGGAAGTTTATAGGATAAAGATTTATAAATAGATCAAAATCATGTGAAAAAAATGTCCAACTCCTTCCAGAATCGAATAAATGTGAATTAACACAACATACTATTTTCTGCTTCTCAGAGCAAGAACATTCAGTGTTAATGAGGGTATCTAATACACTTTTGCAAAATCTTACTTTTCTGGAGAGTAGAATATCTCCAGAAATATCTGTGAAAAGTCTTACCAATTTTTTGGACTTTTGACCCGATAATCACACTTTTAAGCTTTATCCCAAGGGTTTAGTCAGACTACAGGTGTGAGCCACGATGTCCAGCTAATTTTTTTGTATTTTTAGTAGAGACAGGGTTTTGTCATGTTGGCCAGGCTGGTCCGGAATTCTTGAGCTCAAGTGATCCACCTGCCTCAGCCTCCCAAATTGCTGGGGTTACAGGCATGAGTCACCACACCTGGCCAGGAGTCCTGGGTTCTAATCCAAGGATTGCCATTGTCTTCTTGGGAGACCTCAGGCAGGCTTGGCTGGGCATTGATGGGCACCCACACAAGGCCTGGGGAGAATAATCTGTCTCTTCTGGTGGAGAGGAGGATCTTACATTGGGATTAGCACATAAAGAGCGGCTTCCTCCCCTGCTACCCAATCTTTCTCATTATTTCCTGGTGAGAATTATTCAAGTTACTATTTTCTTTCTTTCTTTCTTTTCTTTTCTTTTTTTTTTTTTTTTGAGACAGGGTCTGACTCTGTTGCCCAGGCTAGAGTGCAGTGGTGCGATCTCAGCTCACTGCAACCTCTGCCTCCCAGGCTCAAGTGATCCTCCCACTTCAACCTCCTGAGTAGCTGGGACCACAGCTCACTTCCAACTGGATTATTTAAGTGATCCAGCCACCTTGGCCTCCCAAAGTGTTAGGATTATAGGCGTGAGCCACTGCACCTGGCCAAGTTATTTTACAAAATGGAAAAGATGGCTTTTGGGGTGCCTGCTCAGCCTATTCTCCTTTTCTGAGCACTAACCCCTCATTCTCCTCAGGACTCCTGAAGTCTTATTTTACCTCCTGAGGCTGTGTCTTCCCAACACAACTGAGGACACCTGACCCCAGGGCTAGACTGAGCTAACGAGTCTATTTTATGAATTTGGAAATATAGGCTGGGCGCTGTGGCTCACTCCTGTAATCCCAGCACTTTAGGAGGTCAAGGTGGGTGGATCACCTAAGGTCAGGAGTGACTGGCCTGGCCAACATGACGAAACCCCATCTCTACTAAAAATACAAAAATTAACTGGACATGGTGGTGGGCACCTGTAATCCCAGCTACTTGGGAGGCTGAGACAGGAGAATCGTTTGAACCCAGGAGGTGGAGGTTGCAGTGAGCCAAAATTGTTCCACTGCACTCTAGCCTGGGTGACAAAGCAAGACTCCATCTCAAAAAAAAAAAAAAAAAAAAAAGGAAATGTGACTCAGAGAAGCGGGATTTATAAGGACATCCAACATTGGAGTGGGACCCAAAGTTTGGGCCAATGTGAAAGGAGAAAACAGTAGAAAGCAGAAGAGAGGGAGGAGGAGGAAGAGGAGGCCGTGGTGAGAGGGGAGGGTAAAATGAAGTAATCCAGTTGGAGAGAAGTCAGGACCAGGATTCAGTTAGTACCAGACAGTAGAGATGGAGATTCAGGTTGAGTGGTCTTAGTCATTCATGAGGCTAGGCTCAAGTTCCTGGCCCTGTGTTCTGTGAAATACTCTTGCATCCTTCCATTAACTTTTCATTTCTGCATAGGCATATTTGAGAGTTTTGGTTATCTGTAACCCTGAATAAACAACAATTGGCACTAAACCAATAATGTAAATTTTCTTGTTCTTTTTTTTTTTTTTAGACAGAGTCTTGCTCTGTCGCCCAGGTTGGAGTACAGTGGCATGATCTCACGACCTCAGCTCAATGCAACCTCCGCCTCCTGGGTTCAAGCGATTCTCCTGCCTCAGCCTGCTGAGTAGCTGAGACTACAGGTGCACGTCACCACGCCTGGTGAATATTTGTATTTTTAGTAGAGATGGGGTTTCACCATGTTGGCCAGGCTGGTCTTGGAGTCCTGGTGTCAAGTGATCCACCCATCTCAGCCTCCCAAAGTGCTGGGATTACAGGCGTGAGCCACCACACCCAGCCTGTTCTTTCTTAAAGTAGATTTTATTTTTTAGAGCAGTTTCAGGTTCACAGCCAAATTGGCTGGAAGGTACAGAGATTTCTCATATATTCCCTGTCCCTACATACACACACTCCTCCACTATCAACAACACTACCAGAGTGGTATTTGTTACAACTGATGAACCTACATTGAACTCCAAGTCCAGAGTTTACATTAGGGTTCACTCCTGGTGTTGTACCTTCTATATGTTTTTTTTTTTTTTTTTTTTTTTTTGAGACAGGGTCTTGCTCTGTCACCCAGGCTGGAGTGCAGTGGCACAATCTTGGCTCACCACAACCTCTGCCTCCCAGGCTCAAGCGATTCTCCTGCTTCAGCCTCCCGAGTAGCTGGGATTACAGGTGCGTGCCACCACGCCTGGCTAATTTTTGTATTTTTAGTAGAGACGGGATTTCACCTTGTTGGCCAGGCTGGTCTTGAACTCCTGACCTTGTGATCCGCCCGCTTCGGCCTCCCAAAGTGCTGGGATTACAGGTGTGAACCACCGCACCCCGCCCATTCTACATGTTTTGACAAATGTGTAATGACATATATCTACCCTCACAGTATCATACAGTAATTTCACTGCCCTACAAAATCCTCTGTGCTCTATTTGTCTCTTTATCCCCTCTGAACTCTGGTGATCACTGACGCTTGTACTGTCTCCATAGTTTTGCCTTTTCCAGAATGTCATATAGCTGGGCCTAGTGTAGGGGCTCACATTTGTAATCCTAGCACTTCGGGAGGATGAGGTGGGAGGATGGTTTGACCTCAAGAGTTTG